CAGATTTTTCAGTTTCTGTGAAATCTGCAAAACCACAATTTAGGTAGGTCCTTAGTTATTGTAGCATACAATGAAATACTTTCCCTTCCAGTAGTATTTCAAGAATATATTGAATAACAGTTAGTTCTTTTTTTAGAAGTGGGTCCAGATCATTTGAATCCAAGAGCTTTAAAAGGAAGAGCCAAAGAGCTCTCTGGACAATTACATGTTGTAAATCTTGGAATATGGGGAAAGTTTCAGAAGATTGGAAGAAAGGTCCAGTGGTATGCCCCTATTTTAAAAAGTGTAAATGCAATAACCTGGGTAGTTATAAGCCTGTCAGCCTAGCACTGATCCCAGACAAAATAATGGAAAGGCTAATATGAAACTTGATCAATAAACATTTAAGGAGATTAAATTATTTCATACCTATCCACTTGATTATATGGAAAATAAATCCTGTCAAACTAGCTAGATTTTTTATGAAATTACAAATGTATTTAATAATCTACAAATGTATTTAATAATCATGCCAACCTAATAGGCTTCTGTAAGGCATTTGACTTGGTACTACACAACATTTTGATTGCAAAATTATAATAAAATCCACCTGGCACACATTAAATGGATTATAAATTGGCTAACCTACAAGCATCAAATGTGACTGGGCAGAGGGAATCATCATCATTGGATGGGTGTGTTTCCAGTGGCATCATGCTAGGATCACTTCTTATTTATACTCTACATAACATTTTTATCAAAATGACACAATGCACGTGACACCAAGATACTGAAGAAGTAGTAAATAATGAAGACAACAGGTCACTGATACAGAGTGGTCTGGATCCTTGGGTAAGCTGGGTGCAAGCAAACAGTATGAATTTCAAATTGGCCAAGCATCAAGTCACATATCTAGGAACAAAATGCAGACCAGACTTCCAGAATAATGGATTCTTTCTTGGGAAGCAGCAGATCCTGAGACATTTTTGGCAATCATAGAGGATAAATTGAACATATCATCCCAGTGTGATACTATGGCTGAAAGAGATAATGGAATCCTGAGGTGTACAAGCAGGGGAGTATTTAGAAATGGAGAGTTTGCATTACCTCTTAATTTTGCTTGAATGCAATAACTGCTACAATATTCTGTCCAGTTCCACAATTCAAGAAGGATATTGATAAATTGGAGAGGATTTGATGAAAAGCCATGAAAATTACTAAAGGATCACTATGCCTAATAGTGAGAGACTTGAGGAACTCAGTCTTTATTGAGGTGTATTTGATTTAACGTTAATATAGGGGTTGGACTAGGTGATGCCTTGGTGTCCTATCCAAACTTATCCTTTTGTGATTCACCTTGTCAAAGATAAAAAATGAAAGGATGATTGCAATCTATAACAGTTTTGACAACAGAAGCCTCTTCTGTGTAAGCCATAAAAGAATATTAAGATACATTGACTAGACAATGTCATACAAGAAATAATGAGTATATTTTAACAGGGAGGGTAATTATTGGAATAACTTAAGAATAGCTGTGGAGGATTCTCCATTACTGGGAATATTTAAATCATAATTGGGTGTTTTTCTAAGAGATGCTGTAATTCAAATAGGATTGAGTTCAGAGAAGTCCTAAGGCCTGTGTTATGTAGGAGGATCACATTGTTCCCTTCTAGCCTTATATAATTTTGAAAGGTAATATAGAGGTGGAGAGAGGTCACTCTTGTGGCTTTGGTGGGTTAAGAGTGATCCTCAGGGTTGACCTAAAATAGCAGTGTAGACTTACCCTTAGGGTCAAGTGAATGGTTGGCTTCAGATGTTTAATCTTCCCTAAAGCTCTAAGAATTCATCTGGTGTAAAACAACAGGAAGTACCCACTTCTAGAAACCTACAGTAATTGAATGTTTTACTACCTTTAATTGCCCGCTATCACAGAACAGGTGTCACCTCTCTTGTGAAACTGTGGCTGTTTGTAAATCAGGTTAGATAATCTCATTTGTGTCTGCTGCTCTAGTAATGCCCGTTTCTATCTCTGGAAAAGGCAGCTTTTATTTTTATTCAATAAAATTTAGGACTATATCATTACATTATGTTCTTAACAGAAAAACTAAAACTTGCAATATAGCAATACTCTTTATGCAGCCATTTAGATCTAGAGGGTACAGAGTTCATAGTTCAGAAAACTAAAGAAACGTGTGCACTACAGGCATCCACACATACCTCTGATGTGCTGATCAGGGAAACAGTTACTGAGAACGTACATGGCACATTTGTGATCTGTTCTCAAGTGCCCTCAAGGGCTGAATTATTATAGCACTCACACTACAATGCTTCACCTGCCAAGGCAGGATGCAGGAGCAGTATCTTAGAGCTGGATTTTATTAGCAAAGAGAATCCCAGATGTATTATATCTGTCTGAACTATACAAGTTCCAAGAAGTAGAAAAAAAATCCCCAGAGATACTGATTTACCACTATGTCCAGCTGTGCTCTGAGATCAAGTTGAAAAGTGGGTGCAGGGATGATGATGGATTCAGAGCCATGAATTCCTAGTATGGGTTAGAGCAGGGGAGTCTGCTAGCATTGCTTTTGTAAAGTCCTTTACATAACTGGAAGATTGGGCATAAAGAAGTTCAGTTTGTACTAGTGCTTGAACCACAGGGAATGGGACATGATTTGCAGAGGAGCTGGTTACATTCCCTCCATAAATTCTATATCAGAAGAAATTCTTCTTATGAAGAGGAAGTTCTGTGTTAGGATCTCCAGCTGTACAAGGCATTTGAGTTAGACAAGCAATTTTCAAACAGGGTGCTGCCACACCCACTAATCTAAGATCCTTTCAAAGGTGCCTCAGGTGCCTTACAATGTTAGCACCATTAGCTGTACAAAGACAATTCACAAGATAAACACAGAAATTTCAAATAGGAATCCAGAATGTTAAAAACATTTTGACCTGTTGTGATCCCAGTTCCTTGCAACAGAAGAATTGTTCTGTTATTTTTCTGCAGTCAAAAACTGAGTGAAAACTGAGAGGTTACATTTTCTGTGGGGTGTCTCAAGTCTAATGAGGGGTGTCTCAAGTCGAAAAAGATTGAGAACCACTGGGGTAGACTCTGTGTTGGATTTAACCAAATGCATACTTCAATAGGAGCAGCATAATCTTTGGACTCTTCACAAAACTTAAACCAGTATGGCCACACCTGTGCCTCCTTGCCAAATGGACTTCTTATAGAGGCCAAAAGGATGAATCTGAGGGGAGCAGGCATATAGTATATTTTTCTTCATAAAGAGAGGAGAAAGGAGGAATGTGACAGAAACCTTTTGGGGTATGGAAGAAGTTGGGAAAAGGAGGAGAAAAGGATTGATGGGAAATTAAGAAAGTGGAGCCATCCCATCAATGTTTGCACTTATAAAAATATTAGACTGATTCTGACTACTAAAGAACTCTGCAGCTAATGAAATTGTCACAATACTTAGTGTCATATCATTCTCCGAAACATCATCCTGCACTTATGCTATCTTCCCATCAGTACCTACCAAGGAGTGAAAGTACTGGAGGAGCATTTACGTTCTATCTGCTAACAGACCTAAGCAAATGCTAGAAAAAATGTGCCTGAAAACATTCGTTTGAATTTTATTTTTGGACAGATATATGCTGGAGAACAAATGTAATGCCATAAAAATGTGGTAACCCAATCTTTGAATATATAAGCCTGATTCTCAGAGTTAGACTCATTCTGTCAGGGAAAATGAAATCACCCTGCATGAAATGTCAAATGCTGAATGTTTGCTGCGAACTCCTTGAGACCAGTGTACAAACCAAGCACTGTGTAAAAGCTATCAATTAATTAATTTTCAGTAATGAACAAATTCAAGAGATGTGTCAGATGTTTGTAAACAATCTGTAAACATACAGATCAACAATATTCCTAAATTATTTATCTCAAATTATTCAAACTGTTCCGATTGCTTACTCTCCAAAACATTAGCATTGCTATGAAAGGATAGCTAGTACTCTACCTTTTAAGAAACAAATTGTACATGGAATATTTTTTTTTTAAGTACTAGTTCAAAAAACAAAATTGAGCACAATTCTTGGGTGCCAAGATCTTTGGATTCTTGTTTTTAAACTTCTCAAGAGACCCAATTTTGAGAGTGTTCTGGGCTTCCATCCTTTCACAATCAGTTCTTTAAAGCATCTCAAATTAGGTACTCAAAAATTGAAGCAGCTGAAATCAGGAGTTACTTCTGAATATCTTGGCCAGGAAGTTTCAGGTGCAGTGTTCAGTATAAGTTGGTACCAAGTTGTTTGATATTTCATAATGTTTTACAAAGAAAGTACCTTAAATTAAATAGCCCTGGAGTTTACTGTTATTAGATAAAGCCCTGAGTGGAAAGTACTGCTGAGAGGACAGCTCTGCATATATAGAATTATAGTGTGTAGCCCAGTAACTGAGAGGAAATCTTTAAATAATAAGTAAAGTAATACTTTCCAGTCTGTAGTGCCTTTCATCTAAGAACCTCAAAGCACTTTAGAAATACTATACCCCTTTTAGGCTGCAGCCTGCTTTACAGGCGTTCTTCTGTAATGTAGATTTCAGTAGTCTAATTTATTTGGCATCAAATCTGGTGTCAGTCATAGCTTTTTACTTCACCAATGGGAGAATCCTGTACAAATTATTCCACTATGATGAAAAATTGAATTAAATTAAAACAAAACCCTGCATGGGCATGAATGTAGGAGTCTGATTTAAGCTGACTAAAACAAGGACATTCAAAACTATGAAGCCATGGATACAAAAACAGCTACCTGAGTGGACCTACATACCACAGCCTGCACAGGTAAAGGATAATGGAAGCGTCTCTCTCTATTAATGTTGAATTTTACTGCAATGTACGTTTAAATCAGATCCTCAATCTTAATGTAACACATTTCTATGCTTTTTTTTCTTGGTGATGTGTCCATTATCCAGAATTCATGAAGCAGGAAAACACAAAAGCATTTGCTTCTCTGGCTGTTGGAGATTAAGTTCATTTCCAGTTTATTCAGTATCTGTGGGACTAGGAGCTTTGCTTGCAGCTTCTCATTAACCAGTTCAGCACCATTTTGACATCAAGATTCGCAATTGCTGCATATATGCTAAAAAGATAAACAGCTTCTGTTACAAAATTTGGTCACTGCAGTTCCCCAGAGAAGTGTATGCAGTACTAGTGGTTTTATTTTCAGTCTGCAACACATTATCAGAATGCAGATACCTAGGCCATAGACTCTCTTAAACCTCTAAGTGACACCAGACAGAGCAAGCAGGGGCTGATTTGATTTCTCTCTTGTCTGGAGAAACTATTCAATGAAAGTTCTCTCCTAATTCTGGGAAAGCCCTGAAAAAAAATCAGATTTCCCCACAGATTCTGCCTTGTGAGAGCCAGATTGAAGACTTTTATTAAATCTATCCTTGTATAAATGACATTGTCTTTTTTTTTCCTGTCCCCATTGCTTCCACCTAAACAATTTACTCTCTGGCACCTTTTCTATAATCTGTTTGCTCATGTCGACATAAATTAAAAAATGTTATAGGTCTCCTAAATTTGCACTAGAACTGACCACACAGTGGGTTGGATCATCCTTGCAGACTTAGATATTTCACTTCACTGTGGAGAGGATGGGTACTTCTGTATCACAGAGGGGGACAGTTGTTAGATTATTTTGACGGGGTCACTGTTAGGCTACCTGCTAAAGTCTTGTGGATTGTTGTTAGCAAGAATCCTGTCAAGAGTGGTTAAACATCATCTAATCCCTGGTCAACTTCATTCCAGAAAAGAGCCCCAAACTCAGAGTCATTATGGAGAGTCTTCATAAGGATCTTTGAAAGTGCAGAATGACACTATGGCATGATACCATGGTGAATTATCAGATAATTCATCATGGTATCATTCAGAAGTATTCATAAAAATCATATCATAATTATTATCCAGTAGTGACAATTATTACAGAGGTGATAGAGGGTTGGTGGGTGGTGGTAGGAAATCAGAAAAATACTGAATTAAACCATAGTGAATTCTTGTTCTCTCTAGTTACAGAGGCACAATCAAAGGACAGGGCATTTAAAAATACTATCTCCTTTAAGATCCACTATTTAGAGTTAGCAGGTTAAAACTACAGGCAGACTATTTATGGTCCTTTGTGCTGACATACTTTTGCTGTGAATTTCTCAATTTTTGGGGGGGTGGGTGGGGGGAGGGAGGAAGCTACATTATTTTGTTCTTGGTCTAAGTTAAATGAAGAATATAGAGTTGGAAGTTTGAGATACATCCAAAAGGTACTCTGAGGAAAAATCTGTATTTTCCCATTTACAAATGAGTTAGACTTCTTTGCAGAAGGGTAGGGCAAAAAACTTGAAATATAACATTTCATGCTTCACTTGCCTCGTCTGTACCTAGAAATGGACTGACACACAGAGGAAATGGAACAGATATGTGGATAACAGAAATAATTTATGCAATCTAAGATGCTACCAAGTCTACAGTTGCTCTTTATCTAACTGCAGCAGTGGAGTTGCAACAAATCGTGCAGTTATGTAATGTTGTTGTTTGGCGTATGAATTTATTGAAGTTTAAAAGCTGTGGGGTTAGCCAGTGTTTTTAAATATGTTCTTTTTTGTTTCTATCTTTTCTTATCAGTTTTACCCTTTCAAAATGTCTAGGAAATGAAATAGGAAAATTGCATGGGTGAAACGTTCTTAGGCTGCATAATGTTTGAATGTCCGTTGAAGTTAACAGGGATACTCATAAGCTTAAAGCTTTGCATGAATTTAAGTACCCTAAAAGAATTGGGGCCTAGATGAGGAAGTGAGAACAAGAAACCTGTCACTCCCTTCCCATCTCCCTCTGTCTGATTCCGCCTCCCCCGCCCCCAAAGTTTCAATGCAGAAAGTAGTGATTAGGATATTTTTTTCCTTTTATTATGCACCTATGGCTGTTTTGCCAGTAAAGCATATCCTGTTTCGGTAAGATGTGGGAACCTGATTTTCTGCTTCACGGGAAATTCCACAAAATCCTTACCATTCTGAAATGGACAGATCTAAAACAAAAAAATTAAAAATTCCCAGAAAAACTTACAATTTGGGAAATAACTTGTGTTGAGTCAATCAAATATTTTAATTAGATGAAATTGAAACATTTCATTTTGACATAGACACAGCTTTTAATGTCTTTTCTACATACCTCTAGGTCAGGGGTGGGCAAAATGCGGCCTGGGAGCCAGATGCAACCCGCCAGGCCATTCTATCTGGCCTGTGGGGCCCCTAAAAAATTTAGAAAATTAATATTAATCTGCCCTGGGTTGCCTGTCATGTGGCCCTCAATGGCTTGCCAAAACTCAGTAAGCAGCCCTCTGCCTAAAATAATTGCCTGCCCCTGCTGTAAGTAGCAGGGACTTGTGAATGCTGCAATGGTGGGGCAGATGAAGCATCCCACAGGAGCGCGTGGGGCTCCCCAGCGTGCTCAGCAGCAGACCTGGAAGTGGACCAGAAGCACTTGCGGTCCACTTCCAGGTCTGCCAGGTAGTATGCAGGGCCCCCCACCTCCCCACCCCCAGTTTGGCAACTGGTGCCTCCTTGGTTTAAGGGGGCACCCGGGGTCCCCCTGCAGCTGATCACTAAGCCAGGGAGGTGTGGGGGGCCCCGTGCACTCCTCAGTGGACCTGGAAGTGGACCAGAAGTACTTTTGCTCCCAAGCACGTGGAGGGGCCTCCCGCACTCCTGTGGAATGCTCCATCTGCCCCAGCATCATAGTGTTCACAAGCCGCACTGGTACCTCAGGGTATGTAGAAAAAACATTTTAAAGCTGTGTCTGTGTCCGAATCAGCATCAAATCTTCAGATTTGGATTCAGCCGAATCGAATCAGGGACAGTGATCCGAACCAACAAATCGAATCACTGTCCCTGATTCTGGCTGAATCCAAATCCGAATTGAATAGGGCCTGCATTGCACACCCCTACTATTTACATGCTGTCCCTATGGCCCCAATTAAGAAAATCCTTACGTTCTGTGATTAACTTCACATTGACTTTCCTTATTCAGGTCCAAGGTCTTTCTGTTAATGCTATGAGATGGCAATATTTCCATTTTACATGTTGGAAAATGGAGTTGGTGAGCAGCTCAAACACATTGTGCCCAAAATCAGAGGAAGTGTAAGGTCTAGCCAATAATAGAAAGCAGGTCTTCTGACTCAAATTTGTCTGCTTTAGCTGTGAGACCATCCTAAGTAGAACTACAGTTAACAATGTCTTATACAGTTGATAGATCTTCTGCAACCAGTAGTGTAACTCGGGGGTGGTGGGGAGGGCAACCAAGCCAGCAACCCTGGGCACCACCTTTGTGGGGGAGGTGTTCAAAGATACCCACCACTGCAGTGACAGCTAATCACACTGCTGCAGTCAGTATGCTGCTGAGGCAAGCCTGGGCATGGAGTTGCCTGTTATACCTCTGTTTGCAAATAATACTTAAAAACATGTAAACAGATGGAATTCTATAACTACATAATTTCAGGGGCAAAAAATTATGCCAGGAACAGTGCAGTGTGTAATAAGATACCTCTTGATAAAACTTCTTGTTTTGGTAGCAGCACGTGTTAAAGCAGGGCTGCCCAACCTCTAAGAGGCCAGGGGCTGCAGGCCTCTTGGGCCATATCAGTGGAGGCCACACACTGAGTGGGCTGTATGAGGGTGAGCCATGGGCCCCTGGGCTGCAAGCCATGCAGACGCTTACAATTGCACTGCATGCCTCTCACCCCCATCATTGCATTGTTCTCCTAGGCCTACTCTCCTGCCAGCTTCTGTGCTGTGCAACTGCATGGCCCCAACCTCACTCCCAGCTCCCCATGCCACCCTGCTCCACCCTCTACGCTGAGGCCAGGAAACAGAAGCTGGAGAAGGGAAGGAAACAGAAGGGCAAATTCAAAACAGGGGGAGCCAGGAAACTCTGGCTGCCATTGTCGCTGGAGTGATTTACGGGGGGATGGTAGCCTGATGGGAGCCCCAGGGCCTCAGCTGAACCCTTCAGCCCACAGACCATGGGTTGAACCACCCTGGGCTAAAGAAACCCTTGGTACTACATTCCTTGTTTAATGACGCTGTAGGCCCAACAAGCAAACACGTATGTTAAATCTACTCTAAGACACAGGGTTTGCAGTTATCTTTGCATCCCACAGCTTTTCAGTTTTTCTCCCTTCTGATCTATTACATAATAAAAGGAAAGGAGCAGGGATATTGAATGTAATACCTTTTCACAATGTCTCAGTGAGTGTATCTTGGGCTCCAGAATCTAAGCTATCATAAAAAAGGGGGAAAAAAAGAGTTAATTTTCTTATTTTCAGTGTTGTAAAAGAAACCTTTAAAATACAAACAGGGTGGTGCAGAATTTCACAAATACCCTAGAGCAGTGATTTCCCATCAGGCTGTCATGGCATCTTGGGGTGCCTTGAGGACCTTTCAAGGGTGCTGTGGGGTTCCACACAATGTTAGCACTGCTAGGTGTGCAAACATGGCTCCCAAACAAACCCAGAGATTTCAAATGGGAATCCTTAGAGTTAAAAACATTCTGACCTGCTGTGGTCTTTCTGAGTTCTTTGCAATGGAATAATTGCTCTGTTTATTTTTCCGTAGTTAAAAAATGAATGAAAACTAGGAGCTGGTATTTTCTGAGAGGTTCCTCAAGTCCAAAAAGCTAGAAAGCCACTGTCCTAGAACAATAACTTTGGGAGAAAAATCAATTGTCTGTATCGTCACACATAACTAATTTCACAGATCAGGGCTGTCCAACTTGTGGCCTGTGGGCTGTATGTGGTCTATACAAAGTACACAAATAGTTAGCTTGTTGTCTGCAGGCTCCAGCAGCCACCTCTCCTACTGCTGTCTGGTGGGGAAAGGACTAGGATTCCATAGGCTGCCTGCGCAGCCCACAGGGTGAAAGGTGGACGGGGAGTGTGTCCTGTCATTTGGGGGCTAGATGCCACAAAAACAGCCTGTATGATGGGAGAGACCCCATGGGGACTTCCGGTTGCACTGAAGTTGGACATCCCTGCTACAGATAATCAAAGAATGAAAGAAAGGAGATGGCTGGTTATATTAGGAAGATCTACCTTGTATATTTTAAATATCTTCTCATTAAGTGTCAAAAGTAGGTGGAATTAAAGAAATAATTGCCACCTTTTTCCAGTCTGATCCCTGAGTATCAGGGAGTAATCACCCTTTCCTCCCTGTGGACCATCTATCTAAACCTAAGTTTCTGTGTTCCTTTCCTGCCAGAGCCATCTTTTATGTACCCATGAAAGGAGCCTATGAAATGTCAATGTGGGAGCAGAATCCAGCAGAAATAAATCTGAGACCCAGCAGTGTTTTATTTTAATATTTTAAGTAAAGTTTCTTTAAGCCTATAGGGGGTGGGGCCACACAAAAGCCTAAACAAGAATGGGTTTGGGGCACCAGTCTTGGTGAGAGATTTGGAAAGTAACCTTTTTTTAAAGGGTCACAGAAACATTACAATTCGCCCTTACTGTGCCTTTCCAACAATGAGTGTAAATGTTAAAGTACTTCCTCTGTGCACCACAACATTTGGTCAGACTGCATGTGACCAACACAGTTTAAAACCGCACACTTTTCTGGCAGACAAAAAACTTTAGCCTCTACCACCCTAGCCAAGCACCATCCCTGCTCAAACAGATTATGCAATATTCACAAAGTGCCAAGAAGTTTGGACAATAACAGATCTGAAGAGCTGGAGCACTCCAAAGGAATGGGGCTCTGATAGAGAATTTTTCTCAGAAGCTCCTTAGCATCTGTTTATAAGGCAAGATCAAGGAGTGGTGTTGTAAACAATAGTAACAGTATAGTATGGGAAACAGGTATTATTCTTTACCCATTATTTTTGGTTATACTTCCATTCACTCAAGAGTCTGTCTACATGGCACAATTCAGTCCTGCATAAAGATACTTTTTTCATAGATTTCATAGACATTAGGGCTGGAAGCGACCTCGGAAGAAAGAGTCCAGCCCCCTGCCAAAGGGGCAGGAAGTCAGCTAGGGTTGAAGGATACCAGCAAGATAAGCATCCAAAATGTTTCTTAAAAGAGTCCAGACTAGGTGCTTGCACCACCTCTGGAGGGAGTCTATTCCAGGCCTTGGGGGCTCAGACAGTAAAGAAGTTTTTCCTTATGTCCAGTTTAAAACAGTCTTGGAGGAGTTTGTGACCGTTTGACCTTGTCATCCCTTGGGGTGCTCTGGTGAACAGGTATTCCCCCATATCCTGATGCACACCCCTTATATACTTATAGGCTGCCACCAGGTCACCCCTGAGCCAGTGCTTTTCCAGGCAGAAGAGTCCCATGACTCTCAGCCTCTCATCATAAGGCCTGTTCTCTGGTCCTCTGATCATGTGCATGGCTCTCCTTTGGACTCTCTCAAGCTTTTCCATATCCTTTTTGAATTGTAGAGTCCAGAATCGGATGCAGAACTCCAGAGGCGGCCTCACCAAGGAAGCCACAGAACTGCATTAGCATAGTGTTCTGTCCTGCTTAATTAATTCTCCTGATTAGTCCCACAGGTGAAATGCCAGGATAATGTGGTTATACTCCATTCAGCACCTGTGCTAGCTCATTCAGTGCTAACTCTGGTATCTCTTCTCAGCACTAACTGTGCCATTTAGCCATACCCCTGAATAACATTCCTTCCTCTGTCCCACAGCTGAGGGATGATGAAACTGTAGCTCACAAACTACATCCATCTCCTGATAGTTAAAAAAGCATTTAAATAAAAAGTTATTTTTCTATCTGTTCATTTGTTATTTTCTTCATGTATTATTTATTCTAATAAGTCATTTAATGAGAAGCTATTATTTAAGCAGAAGCTCTGTGCAGAAATAATTGATTCTGGGGCACATGCATCTCAAAAGCTGTGTGCCCTGCAGCTTTCAGCCATGTTAAGATTTTAGTTTGTGACTAGGAGTTTTAGGACATTTGGCTAGTCCTGCCTTAGTCTAATTGCTGTAGGGGTGCAGGACAGGGAAAGAAATAGTACCCAGTGAATAAATGGAAATAAAACAGATGAGAAGGTAAGAGGCTTTATTCTTGAAAGCCTCCCCACCAAAGATTCCATGGGGTGCACCTCAAAACTGATCAGGCTCCATGAATGGATTGAACCTGAGGCATCTATCAGGAGCCTCTGTGAATCCTCACTCAGCCTTTCTCCCTGATTTCCTGGTAGCTCATCTCCACTGGAACCGTACTACAAGGGATACTACCACAGAGTCACTGGGGAGTGAGTTTTTTCATTGTTCAGCATTATATGCATTACAGAGACTAAACACTTCATGCCATTCTTACATGCAGCCACCTCTAGGGTAGATAAGCAAGAACATCATAGAACAGCTTATGACAACAACAACAAAAAGAAAAGAAAAAGAAAATATCCATATCCAATTGAAAATTGCAATAGTGATTTCTAGGTAGGCAGAACAAACTTGAGTTTGTCCAAGGAAATAGGGTTTATGCCTTTATTCTTGTGGAAACTGCCCAGAGAATTTTAAAGCTGTTGGGATTTTGATTTTCATAGCTAATGAGTGTCTTCCCTCTCTACTTAAACACCAATAGTTCAGTAGTGACTTGGAGGGAAGTTTC